TGGACGAGCCATGATGCATCTCGCCTGAATTCTATTTCCCTTGCGTCACACACTGCCTTCAAGTCTGTTTCTAAACCACGTTCAGCTTCGCAATTTATACCCCCACCAAAAACCTCGCTATTCAACGGCGCTGCGCGTAATAGTTTCAGATAAGGGAATACCTCGTGATCCCTTATGAATGTCGTTGCAAGATGTTCGGCATAGAGGCTGACAGCCCTGATCTCCAGTGCAGGAATCGTCCCCATAACTAGCATCTCCCAAGCCAGCATATGTTCAATATGCATCAATTTCAGTGGTTTCCGTTGATTCCACCATCCACTTGGTTGAGAGCTCCATCCCTTCTCTCGACCATGTGGCCCGGACGGGCCGTGCCCGCAAGCGGATATCAGAAAGTACTCGAGGGAAGGGAAGTGGCGAATGAGCTCCGCGATGTGAGGTGGATATACGTTACCGCAATCGATTAGTTGCAGTCTGGTGAGGTTAGAATAGGTTCCCCAGTAGGACTTCGTTTCGTCTTTCCAGAGTGGCCCAAGCATGCTGCTGAGTGATCCTCGGATTGTTAGCGATTCCAGACCTGTGAGACGAGTCCGAAGGAGTGTGTACATCTCGATAGTTATATTACCGAAATGTACGTCTAACCTTTTTATGAGACTGGATTCGTCAGACTTTGTCATGTCGTACAGCAGGTGTTGGTCACCTCGCCCCATCGTCTCCCGACTACAATAGCTTCCTCTGCAGTAAAATCCGATAAAATGGAGTCCTCGGTAACGAATAGCGGACAGAAATTCTTTCGCTAGAGCTGTATGTGCGTCAATCTTGAAAAGCCCCCCTCCTCCTCGATAGTATAGACCAATAGATTGTAGGTTTCTACAAAGTGATAGTATTTTGGCCAATCCTGTTTCGTGTGACTCGGACGCGTTAGCGATGAGGCCGACTCGTAAGAGCTTGATATGTCTCCCATATTGAGCGGCAATTTCATAGTCCACTTCGTCATCTCGATCGATTAGATTGAGCTCCTGATAGACGAAAGGAATGAAAGTCTCGTTAAAGAGTCGATTGACCCTGGTGCAAGGTAATCATTAGGTAGATTTTGTGCTCGTTGATAAGCATCACCCACAATCTCAAAGGAAGAATATCTCTATAGGAAGTCAAATTAGGTTCGAATATATCTCCTGAAGTCTTTCCATTATCGGGACCGCGCGTTTTATGGGACCACCAATTTGAAAATCCACCCTCGGTGTATTTTGGCTCTGTCCAGACAGCGTCTTCACCTATAGTCGGTGACGTAAAATCCGGTCTCAAGTTTTGAAGAATTTCTTGCATCACTTCTACTGGAAAGGCGTCCATAGTATTGGTTGAGATGGATCCAATCCGCAGTTATGGAAGGGTTCAAAGTTTGAGTCGGTTCCGAGTACGCGCTATAAAGTCGAGATGCTTATTCCTTTAGTACCATGCCTTTGGAGACTACAGTGATGCTCTTATTGCTTCGAACATATTTTACAGGTCCCTCTATGTCGGTTATCTCCTTTTCTTAGCGTGGCAAAGCCAGTTTGTACAATAATTTTGGCATGATTGTTGGATTCTGATTCTTGATATGACCTATGAATACCTTGCCTTGTATTTGAGATACTCTCTCGCATCTATTGCCAGAAAAATCATGCTTCTTTGAATAGAGCGATGATAGTGCATTACTTTGACCTAAGCCTATCGCCTATCGTATCACTATCGATTCTATCTAGGGTAAATGTAACACAATGCGTTCCTCCGAAGCTCTATCCCTCTGGAGTCACACACCGCCTTCAAATCTTTCTCTAAGCTGCGTTCTACTTCCCCGCTCGCGTCCCCATCAACTCCGTTTGTCTTCAAATTCTCTGTATGTAGCAGCTTTAAATGCGGAAATACTTCGTGGTCCTCAATAAAGGCGTCTGCTAGGCGTCCAGCAAGAAGACCGACAGCCGTGACCTCCAATGCAGGAATCGTCCC